GATTTTAGGCAAGGTTTCTGTGTTTGAGTGTTATTAGACACGGTAAGAAGAGCATAATAAACTTCTGCAGATAAATTATCTGTTGGAGAAATATAAGCCGAATTATAAATGTCACAATGCGAGTTTGAGCATTTTGTAACTATACGGGTAAGTTAAATAGATTTTTTTTAAAGCTGCTGCTCAGTACAATTTAAGAATATATTTTTTTGAGATAAATTAAATAGTTTTTGTTGCTGAGTAGCGCTAGTAAACATGCAAAACCCTTTTCCCTAGTCTAATAACATTCAAAGCCTCTCTAAGAGTTTGAGTTCTTATTTGTATACATATCTATATTACGTTTTTACTAAGCTGAATGAATACATCGAAGTAACCTCTCTGAAATCCTGCAGTATATTGCAGCATTATTCTTTGTTGATACTGGACAATATTTATCGTAGTTGTCAGCTGATATGTTTCAACCATCGATATATACTACTACAGTAACTACTACCATAGATAAATCATAACTACTACTACAGTAGTAGTTAAACATCGATGGTTTCAACTTGTTAATATCGATACATCGAGAAAAAAATCATCGATAATAATGAATGTTCCCTTTAGCAGGAAAGTACCAAAAGGGCAGACACCAACTCGTTAAACAGATATAAGATAAGTTCAATAAGAAATAAAATTAATGTAAAAGTTACTGTGATAAAAGGATTTTCCACTGATTTCGTAATAGAACGTTTTGCAAAACATGCCATGATACAGAATAAAATCCATTTTAAAATCAGAAAATAACATTGCAAATTACTTCTTTTGGACAATTCAGTTAACTCCCAATCAATCTGTGTTGTTTAGATTACAATTTAAAAATTAACATCGGTTTCATTAACAAGTTTTATCCACATGGTCAAAATGTAAACAAATCTGTGGAGGGATCTTTAAATGCTTCTGGGGCAGAGCCCTAAGGGAGTTTAATTAGTTTTGCTTTTGATAAAAACTACAAAACATCTACAGACCAAGACCTTTCTTTGGACACCTCTACCAAGTTTCTACGCCCAGCCGTTCTCTCAAAATAGTGGAGAAAAAGTTTCCAATTAAATATTTAGATTCCCCCATGTTAATCTTATGGGAGAAAACTCATCTTTGATTGAGGATCCTGCCCAAAAAAATAAAGATTTCAAAAAATGAAAAACACTTTGCAAAACTACAGATCAGAGCCATTTTTTTGACACATTAATAATTAAAATCAGGCCAGAAATGAGGGAGGAGTTCTGTTTACAAAAATCGGCTTAGCGTATTATATATATAGAAGACTAGGTGAAACCCGTCGAAATCGACGGTTAGGGGCCTCCTCGTTTATAATGGTCGTGTGGCTTCATTGGCAACAAATAATGCAAATTAAATAGCAATGTGGCGTTTACAAAGAGAAAAACATACTGTAAATTGGCTGTTACGTAAATATTGACGTTTACTTTTATTTTTAATCAACGTATCTTATAAAGGATAATGTGATCTAGTTTAAAAGAAATATGACCTTTCCGTCATTACAGTAGCTGCTTAAATAGGATTTACTCTTACAGCCAAATTATCGTGTTACTTTCAATAATGTTACCAACTCAGTGGGCCACAGTCCGTAATATAGGTCACTGCAAATAATTTGTCAAGATAGGTACCATTTTAGGCAAGGTTTTTGTGTTTGGATGTTATTAGACACGATAATAGCATACTGAACTTCTTCTGCAGATGAAGTTAGAGTTAGTTACTGTTGGAGAATTATAAGCCGAATCATAAATCTCACATTGCGAGTTTGAACATTTTTTTACTGATAAGGAAGTTACATAGTATTTTTACGCTGCTGCTCAGTGCACTTTAAGAATACATTTTTTAGAGATAACTTAAATTTTTTTTGTTGCTGAGTAGCGCTAGTAAACATGCACAACCCCTTTTTCGTCAGTCTTATAACATTCAATGGCTCTCTATGAGTTCAAGAAAATAACATTGCAAATACTTCCTTTGGACAATTCAGTAACTCTGAATAATTAATGTGTGTTGTTTAAAATACAATTTAAAAATTAACAGCTGTTTCTTTAAAAAGTATTATCCACATGGCCAAAATGTAAACAAATCTGTGGAGGGATCTTTTGAAGGTTTCTGGGGCAGAGCCCTAAGGGAATTTACTTAGTTTTTCTTTTGGGTCACAATCCTACCTTTATATTTGAAAAAATAACTTTGTATCCAATATGGCGGATCCAAGATGGCGGCCAAAAACTTATACCCAGTCAAAATGAAGTACTTACTACCATAGATAAAACATACTCCCTTAGTAGATTTCTCATCCTTATGGAACAGCTGAAGACAATTTTATTGTTAGTTCATGTACGGTTTATGTAGAGGTCGTGTTTTGTTTAAAATTTGTTTCCCGTTATTACAGCCATTTAAAATCTTGTTTAACCAAATAATACGATCTAATCATAAACAATAACTTGTCCCCTGGTTATATAACCAAACAGTAAAGCACAAATCAAGAAATTAACCCTAAAATAATGGAAACAAAGTTTCATCGACACTAGCGCCTTTGTGTCACGTACATGAACTAGACACGAAAAACGTGCTTCAAAATTTACAATGGGATGAGAAGTCTACTTGTGTTGGTTAGTCTATGTTACTACTCTACAATGATCTGACGTGGTCCGGAGTTGATATCTTAAGAAATGTAGAAACAAGTAGGGGAGGAACTCATTTAAAACTCACCTTGTATATAAGTCCGTTAGCGCGATAACTCAAGCAAAAATGATCAGATTTTGATGAAATTTGGTACAAACGCGTAAACCTACGTTTCTTCAAACGAGTTTGCGAACCAGCCTAAGTGGACCATGGGAACGGGGGTTTAAGGGGTCAATATGGGGGTTTCCCATTTTGACCCTAACGACAAAAATAATTGCAATTTCTTTGAAAAAAAAAACGTGTAATTAAAAATTCTCATGTTATTCTTATGGAGAAAATGAAAACTATGGTATATTACTTGTTTATGGATATATGTTGATATAATTTTGCAAATTTATTTACTTCATCCTATAATATTGACGTATGGTCAAAAACTCGTTTTACCTTCCTAGGTACTCGTAAACATAAATATTATTTAAATTGATTAATTGAAAATCAATCCCGGAAAATATAAATTCGCTTAATCTGCAGGTTTGCTGCAGCGGGGTATTTTAAATTTCGAGCCCTCGTAACTCTGACTGCTCGAGTCGTCTGGCTGCTGAATCTACGTATCCTAGACCACCTAACAATCACATATACTGTAATAGTGACACTATTCAAATTTTACAGGTACGCAATACACCATTGCCAGTGTCATTGGTCGTCTGTCTGCTCACTCCACGTATCCTAGACCATCTACCAGTCACATACATTATAATAGTGACACTATTTAAATTTTACAGGTACGCACTACACCATTGCCAGTGTCTAACCTAAATACGATGTCATTGGTCGTCTGTCTGCTGACTCTACGTATCCTAGACGCCGGCATGAGACGCTCATCTACCAGTCACATATAATAGTGACACTATTCAAATTGTACAGGTACACACTACACCATTGCCAGTGTCATTGGTCATCTGTCTGCTGACTCTACGTATCCTAGACGCCGGCATGAGACGCTCATCTACCAGTCACATATAATAGTGGCACTATTCAAATTGTACAGGTACACACTACACCATTGCCAGTGTCATTGGTCGTCTGCCTGCTGACTCTACGTATCCTAGACGCTGGCATGAGACGCTCATCTAGCAGTCACATATAATAGTGACACTATTCAAATTGTACAGGTACACACTACACCATTGCCAGTGTCATTGGTCATCTGTCTGCTGACTCTACGTATCCTAGACGCCGGCATGAGACGCTCATCTACCAGTCACATATAATAGTGGCACTATTCAAATTGTACAGGTACACACTACACCATTGCCAGTGTCATTGGTCGTCTGCCTGCTGACTCTACGTATCCTAGACGCCGGCATGAGACGCTCATCTACCAGTCACATATAATAGTGACACTATTCAAATTGTACAGGTACACACTACACCATTGCCAGTGGCATTGGTCGTCTGCCTGCTGACTCTACGTATCCTAGACGCTGGCATGATACGCCCATCTAGCAGTCACATATAATAGTGACACTATTCAAATTGTACAGGTACACACTACACCATTGCCAGTGGCATTGGTCGTCTGTCTGCTGACTCTACGTATCCTAGACGCTGGCATGAGACGCTCATCTAGCAGTCACATATAATAGTGACACTATTCAAATTGTACAGGTACACACTACACCATTGCCAGTGGCATTGGTCGTCTGTCTGCTGACTCTACGTATCCTAGACGCTGGCATGATACGCTCATCTAGCAGTCACATATAATAGTGACACTATTCAAATTGTACAGGTACACACTACACCATTGCCAGTGGCATTGGTCGTCTGTCTGCTGACTCTACGTATCCTAGACGCTGGCATGATACGCTCATCTAGCAGTCACATATAATAGTGACACTATTCAAATTGTACAGGTACACACTACACCATTGCCAGTGGCATTGGTCGTCTGTCTGCTGACTCAACGTATCCTAGACGCTGGCATGATACGCTCATCTACCAGTCACATATAATAGTGACACTATTCAAATTGTACAGGTACACACTACACCATTGCCAGTGGCATTGGTCGTCTGTCTGCTGACTCTACGTATCCTAGACGCTGGCATGATACGCTCATCTAGCAGTCACATATAATAGTGACACTATTCAAATTGTACAGGTACACACTACACCATTGCCAGTGGCATTGGTCGTCTGTCTGCTGACTCTACGTATCCTAGACGCTGGCATGATACGCTCATCTAGCAGTCACATATAATAGTGACACTATTCAAATTGTACAGGTACACACTACACCATTGCCAGTGTCATTGGTCGTCTGTCTGCTGACTCTACGTATCCTAGACGCTGGCATGATACGCTCATCTACCAGTCACTATTGTGGGAGGGATCTCAGCAGCGCTTTGAGTCTAGTCTGCCAAGGGTGGTACAAGCGGTCCGATCCTGGCATTTTCAAAATCAACGAAATAGGTATGAATAGGTATGGGAGTTGCCCAGTTATTTAGTTTTATGTTTAAGGAATTTATATATTATCATTACGAATTATTTGGCACGGACTTTATCGCTTCGGTTGTAAAAAGTACTTAAATTGTGTAGAATAATAAAGATTTAGGTGCAAGTTTTACTTGATACAAAAACACAACATAACTTTCAACAAACAACATCTGGTATCCATGACAACTAACTTATACAGAACACATACACATGTGATACTAAAATGAGGTAGCCTACCCTCACAAATCATATTTCAACACCCTTCTTATTTGTGGTATACCTGAAACCTAATGCAGTCTCTGAATTTTTACTGTCAAGCGCCTTTGTTAGAGAATCAGCAACCATCTCTTTAGTAGAAACTTAAATGAAGGACAGCTGTTTATATTGAATCTTCTCCCTCAAGAAATGATGCCTCACATCAATATGTTTCGTCCTGGCTTGGTACGTCAGCCATTCATGGCCATTCAAGGCTAAGTTCCTGGCTTTCTAGTTTTCATAATGTATCTGGATTAGACCATTGACTTTGTGTAGAGATATAAAGTCAATGATTAGACCATTGACTTTATATCTATAAAGTCAATGATTAGACTCTTCGAAGACAGGTCAATTTCATCAGCTTAACCTCTTAGCAATAATCCTTCTTGAGCAGCTGAAGACATTGTCATATACTTGGCTTCTGTTCTCGAGAGTGCCACAGTAGGTTGTCGTTTGGTACACCATGAAATTGGACTTTCGCACTTCATAAATAAATAAGTACCCCGTGGTGGATCTTCTTTCGTTGGGATCTCTTGCCCAACCAGCATCGCAGTATCCAAACAAGTTCCCACCCTATAAGTTTATTGTATTAGATAATGCGCATTAAAACCGGTCGCCATTTCATTAAAAAGTATTCAAAGTATTATACTGTAACTTCCACGAAGAAGTACCTGAAGATTCGTTTTATGCCAGTCCAATGCTCAATCCCTGGATGTTGTTAAACCTACTCAGATTAATGACAGCATATGCGATATCAGTTTTTGAAACTTGGGCTGCAAACAATAGACTACCAATAGCTTCTTGATAAGTAATCGTTCTCATCTTCTCCTTTTATACTTCACTTTTCGGCATCTGAGCTCTAGTAAATTTATCACTGCAGCTCATTGGGGTTAATACTGGTCCATCCTGAAACATGTCAGCATCTTGTTGATGTACGTTTCTTGACCCAACTAAGTATATCTTCTTCTCCTTCCTGTCCCTGGTCAGTTGAAATCCCAAGACGGACTTTTGCTTCACCAAAACCTTTTATTTTAAAAGGCTTCATCTTTTGAGTTTTCATCTCCTGTTTAAGTTTCTGATTGTTGGAGAATATTAAAATATCCTTGACACAAACTGCGAGTAAAAACAGTAGGGCCTACTCCTTCTTCAATTCGACAACAAGCACAACGGTCGAATTTGGATTGTTTCAGTCCCAGACATTGTAGACAAGAATCAAGTGTTTGGTTCCCACCCTGCTGGCTTGCTTGTAGCCATGGACACTTACAAAGATGGCAAATTCTAAAAGTTCCATCTTTATATCCAGGCAGCTGGCACATGTATATCTCCTCTTCAGGTTTTCCCTGTAGAAAATCAGAAACAGCATCCATTTGATCGACGAAGTCGTGTTTGTAGGATAAAAGAAAGCTGAAAACTCAAAATTCTTAAATGGCAAGGTATAACAAATTTCATATCACGTGGAAGGTCCTTTTTAAACAAACATTTTACGTATTTAAGTTTTGTTTCTATCTCTTACCGTTTAAAATTACAGTAGAAAAACATAATTTTTAATAAAAACATAACACACTCCTGCAGTGTACTACTGGTGTATAATGTTACAATGTTGCTTGTGGTCAGAGCCGGAGAATACGGAGGTGGTCATAGAGCGTGTTCCCGCTATTGCTGAACCATCTACCTACCTCACAGTAACACACTCCTGCAGTGTACTACTGTTGTATATAATGTTACAATGTTGTTGTGGCCAGAGCCGGAGGACACGGAGGTGGTCACAGAGCGTGTTCCCGCTATTGTTGAACCATCTACCTACCTCACAGTAACACACTCCTGCAGTGTACAGTACTACTGTTGTATATAATGTTACAATGTTGTTGTGGCCAGAGCCGGAGGACACGGAGGTGGTCACAGAGCGTGTTCCCGCTATTGTTGAACCATCTACCTACCTCACAGTAACACACTCCTGCAGTGTACAGTACTACTGTTGTATATAATGTTACAATGTTGTTGTGGCCAGAGCCGGAGGACACGGAGGTGGTCACAGAGCGTGTTCCCGCTATTGTTGAACCATCTACCTACCTCACAGTAACACACTCCTGCAGTGTACAGTACTACTGTTGTATATAATGTTACAATGTTGTTGTGGCCAGAGCCGGAGGACACGGAGGTGGTCACAGAGCGTGTTCCCGCTATTGTTGAACCATCTACCTACCTCACAGTAACACACTCCTGCAGTGTACAGTACTACTGTTGTATATAATGTTACAATGTTGTTGGGGTCAGAGCCGGAGGACACGGAGGCGGTCACAGAGTGTCTGTTCCTGCTATTACTGGACCTTTTACCTACCTCACAGAAACACACTCCTGCATACAATAAAAGGTTAAATTACCTGTGTCCGCCAGTCGATCCTTGTGCTGTGTCCTATTACAGGATATGCATTTCGGCAGAATAAACTGCCATCATCAGTCCTAATATAAGTCCTTGTTCTTCCCCATTGGGTGCGTCTTGAAGTTTTGAAACACGTACACGAACGATATTACACTTAGATACATTACGAATAAAACATAAAACACGGTAGGCCTACTTTTATTGAGCTATTACGGACATGTAGACGCGCGTCGGTCGTGTTTCGAGTCTCGAAACACTCCTGCAGTTTACTGCTGTTGTCACAGAGCGTGCTCCCGCTATTGCTGGACCTTCTACCTACCTCACAGAAACACACTCCTGCAGCATACTGCTGTTGTATATAATGTTACAATTTTGTTGTGGCCAGAGCCGGAGGACACGGAGGTGGTCACAGAGCGTGCTCCCGCTATTGCTGGACCTTCTACCTACCTCACAGAAACACACTCCTGCAGTGTACTATTGTTGTATATAATGTTACAATTTTGTTGTGGCCAGAGCCGGAGGACACGGAGGTGGTCACAGAGCGTCTATTCCCGCTGTTGCTGGACCGTCTACCTACCTCACAGAAAAACACTCCCGTAGTGTACTACTGTTGTATATAATGTTACAATGTTGTTGTGGCTAGAGCCGGAGGACATGGAGGTGGTCACAGAGCGTGTTCCCGCTATTGCTGAACCATCTACCTACCTCACAGTAACACACTCTTGCAGTATACTGCTGTTGTATATAATGTTACAATGTTGTTGTGGCCAGAGCCGGAGGACATGGAGGTGGTCACAGAGCGTCTGTTCCCGCTGTTCATGGACCCCCAACTCGCTCTGGCCATGGTCGGTCAAGGAGGCCGATACAAGCGCCACGGTATTGTAGACGAATGCTGCCACAACCCTTGTACTGTGAACGAACTAAGGAACTACTGCGGCTCGGCCGAGTACTAACGAACAGCCACTGATCTTGTAATTATGTACATTTGTATCTATTACTTGTATCAATTTGTAGTTATTGAAATATACTGATAGTAATATAAAACTGAGTAGGTCTTCTTAAAAAACAATTCCAGTGTTATGTTACAGTGGGTTAACCTCATAGCAGATTAAACACTCATACATATTATGATATAAGTAAGCATTTATATTTAAGTCTTGTTATATTCTTACAAGAAGATAGAAACTACTTTGTGAATTAAACTGCTCCAACTAAATGAAATAGCTACAACCAAAACACGAGGTAGAATCAATTTTTTAAAATGGAAAATCACTAAAAGTATCAAAAATTATTAATGGGTAAGAATAATTGAAATGTTTTCAAGATGCGTTCAGGATAGTAAGGTAGGCAACAAGTGAAAAGCAAACTCAATGTTAGGGATTTGTTTTTAGTTGATAGGGAAAAAGAAATTGACACAGCATAAAATTGAGTTATATTTCTATTACGAAAGACAATATGAACCTAGTTCTCGTAAACTGCAAGCCTTCATACAACACTCGTCCACGACTCCACGTCTCATACGTGTCGTGGATAACATGGAGACGGCTTGTCTGCGAGTCCTCCAGTACTCCCATCCTCTACCACGGTCTGCAACATGTGACATGAGTAAGCTACTAGAGTATAGTACAGACTGTTGCAACACTTGTCCAAGAATCCACGTCTCATACGGGTCATGGATAACATGGAGACGGCTTGTCTGCGAGTCCTCCAGTACTCACAGCCTCTACTACGGTCTGCAACATGCGATATGAGTAAGCTACTAGAGTATTGTACAGACTGTTGCAACACTCGTCCAAGACTCCACGTCTCATACGTGTCGTGGATAACATGGAGACGGCTTGTCTGTGAGTCCTCTAGTACTCCTATCCTCTACCACGGTCTGCAACATGTGACATGAGTAAGCTACTAGAGTAAAGTACAGCCTGTTGCAACACTTGTCCAAGACTCCTCTTCTCATGGATAACATGGAGACGGCTTGTCTGCGAGTCCTCCAGTACTCCCAGCCTCTACCACGGTCTGTAACATGTGATATGAGTAAGCTACTATATAATAGTACAGAATGTTGCAACACTTGTCCAAGACTCCACATCTCTTAAGGGTCATGGATAATATGGAGACGGCTTGTCTGCGAGTCGTCCAGTACTCTCAGCCTCTACGACGGTCTGCAACATGTGATATGAGTAAGCTACTAGAGTATAGTACAGACTGTTGCAACACTCGTCCACGACTCCACGTCTCATACGGGTCGTGGATAACATGGAGACGGCTTGTCTGCGAGTCCTCCAGAACACCCAGCCTCTACCACGGTCTGCAACATGTGATGTTTTGTAAGCTACTAGAGTATAATACAGACTGTTGCAACACTTGTCCACGACTCCACGTCTCATACGGGTCATGGATAACATGAAGACGGCTTGTCTGCGAGTCCTCCAGTACACCCAGCCTCTACCACAGTCTGCAACATGTGATATGAGTAAGCTACTAGAGTATAGTACAGACTGTTGCAACACTTGTCCAAGACTCCATGTCTCATACGTGTCGTGGATAACATGGAGACGGCTTGTCTGCGAGTCCTCCAGCACTCCCATCCTCTACCACGGTCTGCAACATGTGACATGAGTAAGCTACTAGAGTATAGTCCAGAATGTTGCAACACTTGTCCACGACTCCACGTCTCATACGTGTCGTGGATAACATGGAGACGGCTTGTCTGCGAGTCCTCCAGCACTCCCATCCTCTACCACGGTCTGCAACATGTGACATGAGTAAGCTACTATAGTATAGTCCAGAATGTTGCAACACTTGTCCACGACTCCACGTCTCATACGTGTCGTGGATAACATGGAGACGGCTTGTCTGCGAGTCCTCCAGTACTCCCATCCCCTACCACGGTCTGCAACATGTGACATGATTAAGCTACTAGAGTGTAGTCCAGAATGTTGCAACACTTGTCCACGACTCCACGTCTCATACGTGTCGTGGATAACATGGAGACGGCTTGTCTGCGAGTCCTCCAGCACTCCCATCCTCTACCACGGTCTGCAACATGTGACATGAGTAAGCTACTAGAGTATAGTACAGACTGTTGCAACACTCGTCCACGACTCCACGTCTCATACGGGTCGTGGATAACATGGAGACGGCTTGTCTGCGAGTCCTCCAGAACAACCAGCCTCTACCACGGCCTGCAACATGTGATATGAGTAAGCTACTAGAGCACAGTACAGACTGTTGCAAAACTTGTCCAAGACTCCACGTCTCATACGGGTCGTGGATAACATGGAGACGGCTTGTCTGCGAGTCCTCCGGTACTCCCAGCCTCTTCCACGGTCTGCAACATGTGATATGAGTAAGCTTCTAGAGTTTAGTACAGACTGTTGCAACACTTGTCCAAGACTCCATGTCTCATTCGGGTCATGGATAACATGGAGACGGCTTGTCTGCGAGTCATCCAGCACTCTCAGCCTCTACCACAGTCTGCAACATGTGATATGAGTAAGCTACTAGAGTATAGTACAGGCTGTTGCAACACTTGTCCAATACTCCACGTCTCATACGGGTCATGGATACAATGGATACGGCTTGTCTCCGAGTCCTCCAGTACTCCCATCCTCTACCACGGTCTAAACAAGTGATATGCGTTAGTTACTAGAGTATAGTAGATACTGTTGCAACACTTAACCAAGACTCCATGTCTCATTCGGGTCATGGATAACATGGAGACGGCTTGTCTGAGAGTCCTCCAGTATTCCCAGCTTCTACCACGGTCTGCAACATGTGATATGAGTAAGCTACTAGAGTATAGTACAGACTATTGCAGCACTTGTCCAAGACTCCACGTCTCATACGGGTCATGGGTAACATGGAGACGGCTTGTCTGCGAGTCCTCCAGTACTCCCATCCTCTACCACGGTCTACAACATGTGATATGAGTAAGCTACTAGAGTATAGTACAGACTATTGCAGCACTTGTCCAAGACTCCACGTCTCATACGGGTCATGGGTAACATGGAGACGGCTTGTCTGCGAGTCCTCCAGTACTCCCAGCCTCTACCACGGTCTGCAATATGTGATATGAGTAAGCTACTAGAGTATAGTACAGACTATTGCAGCACTTGTCCAAGACTCCACGTCTTATACGGGTCGTGGATAACATGGAGACGGCTTGTCTGCGAGTCCTCCAGTACTCCCAGCCTCTACCATGGTCTGCAAAATTTGATATAAGTAAGCTACTAGAATATAGTACATACTATTGCAACACTCGCCCATGAATTAAAGTCTTAATCATTGATTACATAGAGACGGTTCCAAAAAGTTACGTATTTTAATTATGGACCGTTAGTAGTACTACTACTTTAAATTTTATGTTTCTAGAGTTGAATTGTTGTGAAATGCAAAATGAAATGCAAAACGATTTAACTTGTCCTTGGATAATATTTCTTATATGGTTTAAATAATATTTTCCCTTTTCTATCCGTGACCACAGAAAAATATGGATGAAGGATATTAAGCTTCTTTCAGTCCATATTTTTAAATACTTAATAGCAAAATATTCGTAAACACTAATTAAAACATTACCATAAACTAACCGTGACTGTAGTGATGATTGTTTCTCTTGTTATACTTGTTGTCGCAAAGAACCATGAGTGATTGGATCAACTTTTCACCACAAAGCCGCAACCCCGAACGTTTTCTAGCGATGAGTTCCCGCAGGTCGTGCTCGCGGGCCACACACAGGCACATCGCCAGTAGTAATACCACCGCCGACGTAGCACAACGCCGCATCTATCAGAACACACTATTGGTGATGAACAATATAGTGACATGAAGGGTGATCTAGTTGAGTTCCCGCAGGTCGTGCTCGCGGGCCACACACAGGCACATCGCCAGTAGGTATACCACCGCCGACGTAGCACAACGCCGCATCTATCAGAACACACTATTGGTGATGAACAATATAGTGACATGAAGGGTGATCTAGTTGAGTTCCCGCAGGTAGTGCTCGCGGGCCACACACAGGCACATCGCCAGTAGTAATACCACCGCCGACGTAGCACAACGCCGCATCTATCAGAACACACTATTGGTGATGAACAATATAGTGACATGAAGGGTGATCTAGTTGAGTTCCCGCAGGTCATGCTCGCGGGTTACACACAGGCACATCGACAGTAGTAATACCACCGCCGACGTAGCACAACGCCGCATCTATCAGAACACACTATTGGTGATGAACAATATAGTGACATGAAGGGTGATCTAGTTGAGTTCCGCAGGTCGTGCTCGCGGGCCACACACAGGCACATCGCCAGTAGGTATACCACCGCCGACGTAGCACAACGCCGCATCTATCAGAACACACTATTGGTGATGAACAATATAGTGACATGAAGGGTGATCTAGTTGAGTTCCAGCAGGTCGTGCTCGCGGGCCACACACAGGCACATCGCCAGTAGTAATACCACAGCCGACGTAGCACAACGCCGCATCTATCAGAACACACTATTGGTGATGAACAATATAGTGACATGAAGGGTGATCTAGTTGAGTTCCCGCAGGTCGTGCTCGCGGGCCACACACAGGCACATCGCCAGTAGTAATACCACCGCCGACGTAGCACAACGCCGCATCTATCAGAACACACTATTGGTGATGAACAATATAGTGACATGAAGGGTGATCTAGTTGAGTTCCCGCAGGTCGTGCTCGCGGGCCACACACAGGCACATCGCCAGTAGTAATACCACCGCCGACGTAGCACAACGCCGCATCTATCAGAACACACTATTGGTTATGAACAATATAGTGACATGAAGGGTGATCTAGTTGAGTTTCCGCAGGTCGTGCTCGCGGGCCACACACAGGCACATCGCCAGTAGTAATACCACCGCCGACGTAGCACAACGCCGCATCTATCAGAACACACTATTGGTGATGAACAATATAGTGACATGAAGGGTGATCTAGTTGAGTTCCCGCAGGTCGTGCTCGCGGGCCACACACAGGCACATCGCCAGTAGTAATACCACCACCGACGTAGCACAACGCCGCATCTATCAGAACACACTATTGGTGATGAACAATATAGTGACATGAAGGGTGATCTAGTTGAGTTCCCGCAGGTCGTGCTCGAGGGCCACACACAGGCACATCGCCAGTAGTAATACCACCGCCGACGTAGCACAACGCCGCATCTATCAGAACACACTATTGGTGATGAACAATATAGTGACATGAAGGGTGATCTAGTTGAGTTCCCGCAGGTCGTGCTCGCGGGCCACACACAGGCACATCGCCAGTAGTAATACCACCGCCGACGTAGCACAACGCCGCATCTATCAGAACACACTATTGGTGATGAAAAATATAGTGACATGAAGGGTGATCTAGTTGAGTTCCCGCAGGTCGTGCTCGCGGGCCACACACAGGCACATCGCCAGTAGTAATACCACCACCGACGTAGCACAACGCCGCATCTATCAGAACACACTATTGGTGATGAACAATATAGTGACATGAAGGGTGATCTAGTTGAGTTCCCGCAGGTCGTGCTCGCGGGCCACACACAGGCACATCGCCAGTAGTAATACCACCGCCGACGTAGCACAACGCCGCATCTATCAGAACACACTATTGGTGATGAACAATATAGTGACATGAAGGGTGATCTAGTTGAGTTCCCGCAGGTCGTGCTCGCGGGCCACACACAGGCACATCGCCAGTAGTAATACCACCACCGACGTAGCACAACGCCGCATCTATCAGAACACACTATTGGTGATGAACAATATAGTGACATGAAGGGTGATCTAGTTGAGTTCCCGCAGGTCGTGCTCGCGGGCCACACACAGGCACATCGCCAGTAGTAATACCACCGCCGACGTAGCACAACGCCGCATCTATCAGAACACACTATTGGTGATGAACAATATAGTGACATGAAGGGTGATCTAGTTGAGTTCCCGCAGGTCGTGCTCGCGGGCCACACACAGGCACATCGACAGTAGTAATACCACCGCCGACGTAGCACAACGCCGCATCTATTAGAACACACTATTGGTGATGAACAATATAGTGACATGAAGGGTGTTCTAGTTGAGTTCCCGCAGGTCGTGCTCGCGGGCCACACACAGGCACATCGCCAGTAGTAATACCACCGCCGACGTAGCACAACGCCGCATCTATCAGAACACACTATTGGTGATGAACAATATAGTGACATGAAGGGTGATCTAGTTGAGTTTCCGCAGGTCGTGCTCGCGGGTTACACACAGGCACATCGACAGTAGTAATACCACCGCCGACGTAGCACAACGCCGCATCTATCAGAACCGAGTTGGTGATGAACAATATAGTGACATGAAGGGTGTTCTAGCTGAGTTCCCTTAGCTAAGGTCATGATCGTTAAACTAAGAACTCATTAAACTAATGAATAAATATGGCATTTTAAAGGTGATATTTCAGTAAAAATCTAATTAAGCAAATGTAAATTCGCTTAGTCTGCAGGTTTGCTGCGGCGGCGGGGGTATAAAATGATTTACATCTGGATAGATCTCAACAACATTGACTTCATAACCAATGATAGAGATTCTTGCTGGAACAAAGAGTCAATTAATAAATGCTGATCAAAAGTTATTTTAATAAATCGATGTAACTCATCTATATAAATAAAATTAGGGTTTTGTTTGTACATTGCTCAGAATCATAAATTTTTAGGTTATTTTTACGTTTCTTACATTAAAGAAGCCGAAACCAGTCTCATCTAAATTTCTGTCTGTCTGTAACACTCAAGATGGCATTTTACGCAATCTTCTCCTGGAAAACTAGAGTACATATCAAGATCCAAGTCATTTTAGATTGGCGAGAGTGTCTTTAGCCATTAAAATATGGCCTCACTACTTTGTAAATAAAATTACGGACGTTCAAAAATGCAGTTTTGTGCGATTTTTGTCAAGTTTTCGTCCAATTTTTGTCACAATTTCATCTATGAAATAACGAACTGCTGTTCGGATCAAGATTATTTTTTCTAGCCGTCATTGATATGTTTACAAATGTTGTTTACAAATACCGCAACCATTTCCGATCACGTTTTGAAGGCAAATCCCATCCAAGTGAGATTACAAACGGTTTTCTTACATAAAGGATTTAATTAATCGCAAGTGGAATAATATAGTGTAACCGTAAATTAAATTAAATAACTAGGCATCATCCAGGTCAGGAACCAGAGATTCTTTGTGTATAAAATTGTTGATAACCAGAAGTTATCAAGTTATCTGGAGTTTTGATAACCAGAAAGAAGACATTGAATCAGTGTTGTATATGGCTGGGAAACTTAAATTTATTAATGATCGCCGCCAATAGCTTAGAAACAAGGTTCCACTCATTGACGGCGCTTCGATGGCGGTTGTGTAAAGTGTAAAGTAAAAAATAACATCTGCAGTTAGTGGGTGATTGTAACAAAGGTTTACGGATGATGCCAAACTCGATTTTCCAATGTGTCACTTTTTTGTTCCTACCATTGACTATATATAGTCAATAGTTCCTACTCACCGTGTGATGCAATCGCTGGACCATACAGCCAATAGGCCCATAGCCCATCTCTTGGGTACGTACGCTTATTCAATTATTTATGACAATCTTTTCGACGACGATCCTTGATACCGGTACTTTTCCCTAGAATACACGGCCTACCTAGGTACTTAAGAAATAAAATTACAAAGTCCAAAAACCCAACGTTTTGTGATTTTTGACACATTTCCTTCTTATGTTAATAGATATACCAATCATTGTTTAGGGAATACGTAATCTATTAAATAACAGAAAGTTGTTGAATAAGGTAGTTTTTTTTCAAACTGACACCGATAATTTTACATTAAGAGTTGTTTACAAATAAAGCAATTAATGGGAAATAACTTTGATTGCCGATAACGTTTTACGAGAAAATCCAAAACCAAGGGATCAATAACCTTGATTAACACATCAAATTGGTCGGTTGTAGGCCTACTATAGTTCTTAACTGTAAACGTTGGTTTTTGATGCGTACTGGTTCTTTTCCTTTGAATTGTTGGTAGCAGCAAGAATCATTTTTACGTACCAACACATCACTGTAATTTACAAATTAGTTATCGTTGGTGTTGCATCTTATTTATTACAGGCGTATTTAATTTAATTGATGTCTTGCTTTTTCTGTCTGGATTCCTAAATGTTAGTTTATGCTGAGAAAACAATAACGCATTTTAGTAACACATTTATTCAGCAAACCATCATGAATTGTTCAAACGCTTTGAACGTTGTTTATGTATCAATAGTTCGTGGCCTATTTTGGTAATTTTTATTATAAATTAACAATCTAAATCGTCTATAGTACTGTACTTCATTTCATATAGCAAACCGATTCATATAGCATTTCGACAGAATTTCGGGTCATCTTCGGTCCTAGCAAATATAAATTGTTATGATAAAATTTTATGACATTAACAAAGATTTCAAATACAAATTGTATATGTACTTTGTTATGCTTTGTTAAGCGTAGCAAATTCCCTAATTAAATTCTGTATTTTTGTGTGTATGTCTGTTGGTAACGCATTAATGTCCTCATTTCTCAGTGTTTCACGGAAAGGACAAGAGCACCTTGATAATGAAAATGTCAACCCGAATAAAGTGTTAAATTGTGAGGTTGATGTAGTACCTTAAATACTTTTAACCATTGTGGAAAGTAACTTTCAATTATAGGCCTACCTTAGGGCTATGCCTTATAGATCTAATAAAGCATTTTTTTTAGTTTA